CGTCCTCTCCGGGTCATCATTTAACAGTCGGGCTCCACGTCATTTGCCTGCCGGCGGGCGTCAGCGAGAATCTCAGACTTGAACATAGACTGGTTGATGCGGTTAAGGGCGTCAGGCTGGGGTATAGTCGGCGTTTAGGCCAGAGTGGTGATGTTGTGTTTGAAGCTCACCTCAAAGAGGTCAACTTGGTAGAGGTCTCTGGAGATGGACAGGGAATGCTTTCCGGTCGGGGGTTGTACCTTCCCATTGCGAGTTCCCTCGCTCCTGACAGAGGAAAGCTACGTGTAGGCACCTTAGGTAATTACGTAGGCAACTGGGATGGACGTAGAAGAGGGAAGGCAGCAAGAATGGAGGAAGGAAGGGGGGAGACCCTGATGGCAACCGGTGGTTCCTGCAGTGTGAGTGAAGTGCGTGCACCTCACTTACTTACTACCGTAGACCTAGGCAGGTTGCATGGATCAATCTTCGCAAGTACCTCCCAGAGAAGAACGAAGTCATTCGGCCACTAAAAGCACCCAAGAGCAAAGGCTCGTCTTACAGCGCAGGAGATCGCCGTCGCCGCGTGTCCTGTATCCTTGGGGGCAATAACCTACGCCCATGCGAGCAAACTCCCTGAAAAACAGCTGCTGCAGAGTCAGGTACCTTAGGTTCGCGTCAGCAATTACGACCACGACCTGGGCTGACTTGAACTTCCACTTCTCCAACCTGACCAGAGCCGTCCCATCTCATGCCCATTCATCGCAGCCCAACCTCGCCATCGGATTCGACATGGCTTCTCTCCGCATTCTCTACCACATCAACCACCACAATCCCTGTCGTCGTTGCTAATCTACCTACCTACCTACCTAGCTCGCAGAATTTGTACTGGCATGTACCGGCAGACCAACAACCACCTGCAGCGGACCCCAAGAGAGTGCAGATTACCTGCCTTGGGAGGGCATCAACACCACCGTCTACGGTACATTCGTGGCGCATACTGACGCTCAAATCCCTCGCGCCCACGCCCGCAACGCCGCTTGTGCGTCAGTAAAGCCATCCCGCTAGGCGACGCGCCATCCGCACCTTTCTGACAGGCCCGGTTCTTCCTCTGCGAGTCTGCGGCAGACATGGTGCGCCGTACCCGTGCAAGGCGTTCGTTCGTCTCCGCCTGCTTGGCTCTCTTTTGAATTAGGTTCAGTCAATGCAGCCTACCTTGGGCACGCAGTACGAAATCTGGGGTTCTTGCAGGGACGCCCTCACTTCACTCCCCCATATTCTGCTCTTCACACCACCTCAGAACGCCCTCCTTTTCCCACGCCTTCCAGAACAAAATACTCGAGCCGAGAGAAGCTCTTATTGTCTGATCTCCTATGTCAACCGCTCGTCACAGCAGCGCGGTACGGCGCCCGAGCGCAACGCCAATGCAGCTCGAAGCGGCCCACGAGTGTTGAAAAGGAAGCTCGTCTCCGCAACTTCGCCCGCTGTCCGGCACAGAGAGAGGCACCACAACGGCCACATCGCGCTCCAATGCTCGTCCTTGCTCCACAGCGGCTCGAATCCTGGTCATGCTTGCCGTTTGCGGTAATGGGAAGGAAGCACAAATCCCGGCAAACATTATAACAGACTTCGCTATAGGGCCAACCCGTCGCCGTGTCTGGCGAGCGCTGGTCGGTACCGAGCATTACTTACGACAGAACGAGGCTGCGCATGAGTGGAAGGACCAACAGTGCCGGACAACGGACGAAGAAGGATGGAGCAGAACTTCAGAAGAACGACGGTCATGTCTGTTCGGCGGTAGTCGAACCGAAAGAGAAGAAGCCAAGAACCCTTCCGCCAAGCCGAATGGTATTATTGGCTGGGATGGCACAGTCCAACGACACCGGGCCTCCCTCCAACCCACTTGGGGCCGGAGCGGGTGGAGTTCTGGAGGTCTGGAGACAAGCCTTGAAGCTGGAGAAGCAGACTCGAAAAGACGATTCCCCATCTCTCGAGATTGGCACCCCCCAGTGTGTGTGCCGCGCCACCCCTACATAGCACCACGCTACCGTCTACTTTCGGCCTCCAACCTGCTTGACCCAAGGAGCAAGTGTCGTGGCTACGGGGGTTGTCCCGAGGCGCGGAGGAGACGACCGAGGCCGTCGGGGAGGAGAGCACGAGAGACAAGAGGAACGTTGGGGAGAAACCCGTCCCGGTGGGTGGGAAAAGCTTTGATGACATGACACTAGCCATCCCGTCCGCTACGTCGTCTGTCACCGCCACCTCGATGGCTTCCTTCGCTGCCTTCGTCGCTTCTGCAGCCGCATCCCCGTCCGTCACGCTCACCGGCTGAGCCCAGCTTCATCTCGTCTGAGGATCGACCAGAATATGCTGGGCCTGTGCCACACATCTCAGTCGACTAGAGCTCGACAAGATCAGCCTGGGGGTGGAAAACTTTTGGTTCTAGACCGGCACAGCAACTTTGGGCATGTGGCCCTGTCCCTCGCCCAAGATGCCGCTCTTCTCCACCACACACCCGTAAATGGCCGCCTTCGCCAGTTTTCCTGTGGCTGCTGTTCGTTGCTCCTCACCTTACCATCGCCCATCGTGAGCTAGACCCCTGCTCCCCTCACTGCAACCCTGCCCCGTCCCTCACAGCTATTATGTACAAGCGTACCATATAATACCTAAGCCCGAGGATCCTGAATGTGACCTTCTCGCTTCTTCCCCCCTTCGAGAACCAGACGCGCCGTAGAGACGTCTCAATGTAGATGCGTCGCCGAACGTTTTCTTTTCTTTTTCGCTGTCTGTTCTCGCGTGTAGACAGATCTTCTACCTTTCCTAGTCACCCCAGCTCCTCCACCTCTTGCCCTTTCGTACCGCGTGTTTATTACTTTGCCAATGCGAGGGTCGCACGGGACGATAACCGTGCCGTCTGAACTCGCCCACATCTTCACCTCGGCCTCGACCGCTTTCTCGTATGCATGCCAAGTTTCTATCTACGACCATTCGAAAGAAGACTGGCAATCAGAGAGGCGCAAACGACAAGGGGGATTCTAGTTGAAACATTCATCGAGTCGGTCGCCTTCTCGCAATCGTACAGCTACAGTCTTCGCAGCAGCTTAGATCATTGCAACGGCAACAGCTCACGACAGAGACCGCATCGTCGCTGTCGCAGTATTCGAACCCGAAGAAGTGGGACGCAAAAGGTTCGACTTACGATTCACCAAAAGTCGTCTTCGTGTCTAAAGCCACCGAAGACGACTCTTCAACGAATCATAGCGGAAGACAACCAAGGTGTAAGGTGAGTTGCGCTTCGATTCGGTCAGAAGTACACCAGGCTTCCCACACTCCCTGGCGGTGACTTTCCCACACCCCCCTTCCATCTCTCCCGTCCAGGCAAGTCGGCCTGGCACGCATCAACCCCGCCATGCCAATGTGCTAGCTGTGCCATACTCCAACGGTGGTACTGGTGGTCTCTCTGGTGGTCGTGCCCCTTATTTTGGACCATATTACTTTACTCAATGCCCGCCTGTCTCCTTGATTTTGCCCCCTGACGCACTCCCGGCTCGTTTATGTGCCGCTAACTGAGCTGCGTAGAAAGGCTCTCGCTTTAGTCTGCCCTCTAGATATATGTTACTCGCCATTCCCTAGTCCACCCCAACGACGACGTCCAGCCATCGAAACCAAGACGATTCCTAGACTTGCTTTCAGCCGCTCTCAGCTCGATTTCAACTACGCATGAACAACAGAAACTAAAGCATATCTGAATATCGTTCACGATTCACCCATCACGCAGCCATAAGCGGGCTTGGCCCCAGCACAACGAGGACAGAATGCTATCCAACCCACTACACCGTTTCTCGCCATATCATGGCATGCCACCCAACACGCTCTTCTCCAACACCCACGTCCAGAACGGTCATCCCCATACACCCGGGATGGACGCACTCGCCCCAAGTTCTCATTACGCGCTTCAGCAAATACAACAGCATGTAGGAATACACAACCCGCATCTTGCCCGTGCCGGGCCCCAGCACAAGCATCGTCAACACCCGTATGGACCCGGCGCAAGAACACCAAGTGCCTCTGGACCCATCCGCAGAAGAATCAGTCGAGCATGCGATCAGTGTAACCAGCTTCGGACGAAATGTGACGGGCAGCACCCATGCGCCCATTGCATAGGTAAGGATCCAAAGACTAACTCAGTTCATCTCTCGAGCTCCTCTCTAACACCCTTCATAGAGTTTGGCCTGGGGTGTGAATACGTTCGGGAGCGAAAGAAGAGAGGAAAGGCATCGCGGAAGGACCTTGCCGCACAAGCAGCCGCGCAAGCAGCAGCATCAGCCGGCCAAGGGCCAAAGTCACCATCTGAAGACAACGGGCAATCTTCAGAACAGTCGGAGTCAAATAATTCAAAGACTGGGCAGCCCTCCATTGATGACTTGCAACAACACCATGGCGGCAAGACTCTTGATGATCTCGGCGACGAAGCCATGCAACGGAGTCAGCGGACGGGCTCGCTTGATAGTCTCGGCGATATTGCTGGTCATCAAGCTCAATTGACAGGACACCATGGTATGGACAGGGACCACTTGGAAAGCCCGACTACTCTCGATCTCAACGGATACGGAGGCGTGCCTCCGGGATACGATAGACAGAGCCTGGGAACACATATGATGGCGGGCCCCTCACATGCCGCATACGGCCCAAATCAGGGGAGCATCTCAGCATATCCTGACATCCCTTACGCCATTCAGACGCACAGTCCGACTGCATACGCCAACGGCGCGCCGTTTCGCATCGCAGCAAGTCCGATTAGTGCCTATCCGCTCGCGGGCGAACCGACGTCCCCTGAATGGATCTCCATGTCCTCGCCGCCAACACAGTATCCAACTCATATGCCCACAGGCTACCCTCAACCTAACCAACAACTACGGTACCCAGTATTGCAGCCTCTACTGCCCCATCTTGGGAACCTTCTCCCGGTCTCCTTGGCATGCGATCTCATTGATCTGTACTTTGCCTCGTCATCGTCTGCGCAAATGCACCCGATGTCTCCATACGTGCTGGGATTCGTCTTCCGGAAGCGATCTTTCCTTCACCCCACGAAACCGAGGTTCTGTCAGCCCGCCTTGTTGGCTAGTATGCTCTGGGTTTCTGCTCAGACCAGCGATGCTCCATTCCTCACCAGTGTCCCATCGGCTCGAGGAAAGATCTGCCAGAAGCTATTGGAACTGACAGTGAGCTTGCTCAAGCCTCTCATCCACACCCCATCTGGCGACACCTCCCCAGCCACCAGTCCAGTCATCGATGGGGTTGCTCTTGGCGGCCTTGGAGTAGCGCTCCCTGGGTCCATCAGCATGGATGCACTCACCGGAGAATCGGGTCCGTTCGGCGCTGCAGGGACGCTGGACGATGTTATCACCTACATCCATCTCGCAACGGTAGTATCGGCAAGCGAATACAAGGGCGCCAGTCTTCGCTGGTGGAACGCCGCCTGGTCTCTGGCTCGTGAGCTAAAACTAGGTCGTGAACTACCTCCAACCCCTATGTCTATGAGCCAAAATCACGACATGGACGCAGACGGCGAGGCCGAAGATGGCATTGGCAGCAACAGCCACCCGGGCGTCATCACAGAAGAAGAACGCGAAGAGCGTCGACGTATCTGGTGGCTGACTTACATTGTTGATCGACATCTAGCCCTCTGCTATAACCGACCATTATTCCTCCTCGATCTCGAATGCGCTGGTCTTCTGCAACCCATGGACGATACTGCCTGGCAAAATGGCGACTTCCGCCAGCTTGACAACACCACCGATCCGAGCCTCGGAGACGGGTCCAGCCAGTCCGGCCGTGTCCGTGGTCCGCATTTCGAATGCACAGGGCATAGCATTTTCGGGTACTTCTTGCCCCTCATGACCATCTTGGGCGAGATCGTCGACCTGCACCACGCCCGCAATCACCCCAGGTTCGGCGTTGGCTTTCGTTCCGCCCGCGAGTGGGACGACCAGGCGAGCGAAATCACACGACACCTAGAGGCCTACGAGCACAGCCTCAAGCGCTTCGAGCAGCAGCACCTCACGCGCCATGTCAACTTGGACGACAAGATTGACCTTGTTAACCCGGAAAATGGCGAGCACGGCTCCATCGCAGACATCGGCACTCCGTCTGTCCACTCAGTCCACACCAACGCGTCGAATCGCATGACCGAGAGCGACATCCAAACGAAGATTGTCATGGCCTACGGCACCCACGTCATGCACGTCCTGCACATTCTTCTGGCTGGCAAATGGGACCCCATCAACCTCATCGACGACAACGACCTCTGGATCTCGTCCCAGGGGTTCATCACCGCAACGGGCCACGCCGTCTCGGCGGCCGAGGCCATCAGCAACATTCTCGAGTTCGACCCCGGTCTGGAGTTCATGCCCTTCTTCTTTGGCATCTACCTGCTGCAAGGGTCCTTCCTCCTGCTCCTCATCGCCGACAAGCTCCAGCTCGAGGCCTCGCCCAGCGTCGTCAAGGCGTGCGAGACGATTGTGCGTGCACATGAGGCTTGCGTCGTGACGCTCAACACGGAGTACCAGGTAAGCGGGCCTCCCTTGTGCGATTTCCTACTGAACAATGCATGTGCTGACCATTTCATCCAGCGCAACTTTAGTAAAGTAATGCGAAGTGCTCTGGCCCAAGTCAGGGGCCGCGTGCCCGAGGACCTCAACGAGCAGCACCAGCGCCGTCGCGAGCTGCTCGCGCTGTACCGCTGGACAGGCGACGGGACCGGCCTCGCTCTTTAGGGTCTTTCATCCTTAGAAGACAGTTCAAGTATGAAAAAATGAGATATTTGATGCGTGGACGGCAATATCACGATGGATACGGGATGCGGAAAACGGAAACAGGAGTTTTGGCCGCGGCGCTGGGGATCGGGTATGGCGGGACATGGGCGGGACATGGGCGGGCGACAAAACAAAAACATTATACACATTGCGATGGAGTACATCAGCTTTGAGGGAAAGGGATGGGACGTTGTCTACTTGTTGGCTTTTTCGATATTTTTGATTCTTCTTTTCAAGTTTATACCAGGGGAGTTGTGCGGGCTGCGGGGGGATGACGGGAGAGATGGGGGCGGGATGGATGAATGTACGAATGTTTGGATTCATGTAAATAGCCTTGTAAATATCGGTGACTTCGAGCTGACTTGGGTTCCAATGGCAACGTCTTCGCACATGGTTCTCCAAAATCTGATGCTTTTTGTTCTTGCTTAGAGCAAGCCTGGTCTTCCAATGTGTAATAACGACAGTACCACTCACAAATTGAATGTATGAACCCATAGGAAATGCAGTCGCTTTAGCACAGGAAACATGGGTGGTCTCCAATAAGGAGGTTTTGTGAATTAACTTGTGCGGCCCACACTTTTGCCAGTGCTTCTTCCAGTGAGGTGTTGCAGCATTGTATGCACAAAGGGAAGTATTAAGGGTGATTAGGTGCCAGGTGCTGAAAACTTGCAGTTGTTGTGATCTAAAAAGGGTATCGTGCTTTTGAGTGATGCGATTTATGGCCTATTCGGTTGCGAGAGGTGAGGCACACTTCATGACTCCACCCACTCGATCCTAAGCTGCTGAGATTCCATCCGACGCCTGGCCGAGTCTTGCTTAAAGCGCTCCCACCTTTCAGACTTTTTGCGCCGTTCAGCCTTGAGCGCAACGGTATGCCATACCTTGTCTGGCCACAGCTCATCGATGAGCTCTACCAACTCGTCCATGTCCCGAGACACGGCCAGACGGCGGCTGGTTTGCCCAACCGTGTCGTAGGCATCCGGGTTTGCACCTGCTCTCAACAGCAACTTGGCGTCTTCGACGTTGCCCTTCCAGACGGCAACGAAGAGCGGTGGCGAGTAGAACCGTCCGCCTTTCTTGTTGACATCGACATTGTGCTCTGGTTTGAGAAGGAGCTTGAGGATTGATGTCATGCCGTATGAAACAGCGTAGTACAGGGGCTCTGTATTGCGGATAGCGTTCAGGTTGGTTGTCTGCATGATGTACTGCACCCAGGATTCGAACGGGCCGCCATTTGAGTGTTTCTTTGTCTCGAAAAAGTCGAGGATAAGGCGCTCGTCGGCTTCAGCCATTGCAAATCGTTCCGAGTGTATTGGCCACATGGTCGCTGCGTAGTCGAGAAGAGGGTATTTGGTGAAGCGACTGTCCATCTGCCTCTGTTTGTTTGTTGGGCCTGAAGCGAACGGGTTGAAGTTAAGGTATGCAAGGCACTTGCGCATCATTTTGCGGTGGCCCTCCGTGGTGTCGAGCGCAAAGTCTGAAGCGTCGGATGTACGAATCCAGTCCGATTGCAAGCAAGTTCGTATTGAGTCGTGAGCGAGAGTGACGGTCTTTTTGCTAACGTGAACCAGGTCTTGACATATCTGTGGAATGATGGACGGGTCGTTCAGCCGGCAGTCGTTATCAATGTCGGTGTCGTTTTCTTCGACGACGACGGCTTCCGCAAGCTCCTCGAGGCCCAAAGGACGCAGAGAAAAGCTCAGCCAGGTAAGGGCCTCGCGGGCAATTTCCTTATCTCGTTGTGGGATGCGGTTCAAGATTGCCGCGTAGGTCTCGCTGAGGGTAGAGGGCATGTCTTGGAGTGCTCGCTTCACATCCCGTGGCGTGCGAAGCACACTCAGTCTGTCCATGCAGACTTTTGCCCATCGAAACCTAGAAACTGTCAGCTCATGACGTAGAAGTTTGGTGTTCTGTCGCAACATACGTCCCATCAGCGTCTGATACGATCTTGATCCTTATCTCCTCTTGAATTTCGGGCCTCAGGGTTTGAAGGCTGCGTTCGTTTGATAGCCTATGTTTCACGTACAGCTCGATATCCGAATGGATGGACTCAATGTTCATTTGCCTAAGATATATCTTGGGGGATGCATCAATAGGCTCGTGAGTACAAGTAACCAAGACGCGGAGATTGGCATGTTTCTCGCAGAGATCAAGCAAGATCTGGATGATGAGGGCCTCGTGACTGGTCTCGTTCAAGGCGTCAATTGTGAGGTAGAAAATGTCGAACAGCCCCAATGCCTGGTCCATGACCTCATGGATCTGGGTGATGGACAGGTTGTTCTGGGGTATCAAAGTGTTACCCGACTGTCTGAGCGGCCGAACATGATCGAGGATTTCTGGTCTCGCGGCTCCGATCTGAGCCAAGATGGACCCAAACACATTCGGTATCGCTTGAGACGCAGTATCATCCAGCGAGCAACAGTGAAACCCCATACCAACTTTGCTGGTTGCGTTCAAGGCATCGGAGTCGATCCGCTCTTGAAGCTTCTCGACCAGGTGAGAACTGAAGAGGTGTAAGCGATGGCAAGCTAAACCTTGGCAGCAAGAGACTCACAAAAGAACCGTTTTACCCGAACCCGCTGATTGCATTAGTCGAGGCAGGTTGACAGCAGACGGGGGCTTCGGGGTCGAACTTACACCGGCCGGCAATCCAAAACACAGGCCAGTTGGTCGGACCGCCCTCCTCCCATGCCGAGAACCGGCCGGCATGGATCCATTGCCCGCTCCCCGGCACTCGGTCAGCAGCAGAGTCACGCAGTTTGTCTTTGCTGTTGACGGGCGACAACCACTTGAGCAAGTCGGCAGTTTCCTCGAGCTCTTGGTGGGTCTTCTTGTCGATGATGTCTTGGCGCACCATGGATGTCAATCGCTGCATCTCCGTCAAGACAGTCGCGGTGGTGTCGACCGAGTCGCGCATCAGGATCATAATGAACCAGGTTTTGGAGCGCTCAATGGTTGCCAGATAGTGTTCGACATCATCCGACTTGAAGGGCCAAGTCAGGCTCTGGATGGCTTGGCCCACTTTGGAAGTGCTTGGAGTTCCGAGCTTCTTTTGCATGGCGTCGAGGGTCTCGTTGGTCAAGGCGAGGACAGATTGGACCTGAGTCTGCCATGGCTCAAATGAGTCTGATCTTGTCTGAAGATTAACCTGGTACATGGCTCCTTTGAGAGCAAAGAGCTCCTGGGTGAGTTTGCGGATGTCATCTTTGGCGGATCTCACGGCAGAGACGTAGGTGCAGAGACGGTCAACGACTTCGGTGATGAACGCGGCGACCTCTATCACGGTCAGAGCCTCGGCCATTTGGAGCTCGGTGGCGGCGCGGGCGGGCGGGATTAACAGACGAAGCTAATCTAGCGATCGAAACGGGTCAGTGGTTGTCGGCTGGCCATAGCTCGGCCGGTGACGTCGGTCGAGTGGCAGTACGGATGCCATCGCACATTAATTACTGACCGCAAGACTAGAGTAGAGTCATGCGGGAGGCAGCCCGTCTAGTTCCCGATGCAAAGGTACCGTTGGGGGCAGTCGCAGTCGTAGTCGCAGTTGGGGTTGCGGTAGTACCGTAGTTGCGGCGCCACAAACCCGGTCGAGTTGCAAGGTCTCGGGTGCGACAGTTCTGGTGGTTTCCGAGGCGGGCGTTGATAGCTTGACGCGGGTGGTTGAGTTAGACGTGGTGGGTTTGAACTCTCTCGGGCAAGGTTGAATGGGTTGAGTTGGATTGGATCAGATGGGATTGGACTGACCTCAAATGCGAAGCGGGGCAGGCTGCAGAACCCTTCACACATCGCGCGAGAGCGAACACTGAACTTGTCACAGCCATGGATGAAGATTCAGGTCGGCGGTAAATGTGGGGAGAGGTGGACGGGTTGCTGCAACGGTGCAGCACTGCGAGTGGACGCGGAGTGGATGCCTTCAGCGGTTCAGACTTCACGCGGTAGGCACGATCCACTGGATCCAATGTGAATGCGCCTGCCGTTTGTTGGGGGGCAGCAGCAGGAGCCGCCCCTGCCTGCCGTGGTGTGGTGCAGCTGTGAGGAAGGAACGTGCACTGAAACTTCAACTGGCACTTCAAGGAAGGCAGACAGGATCTTGGATTGACGATGCCTGCCAACTGCTTCATTCTGTATTGGATGCCAAGAAGGAGAACTCCTTTCGTCATGTATGATTCCACATCACAACCCACAACGGATCGCCTTTCCACATGGAATTCCTTACTTTCTGCATGGGATACTCGCATAGACGGGTATCTCAAACTGCATCGTCCAGCATCTGCGGCCCTGTCCTCTGCACGTCGGACGAAGATCGTCGCAGGACAGAAAGGCAGACAGCATTTCAGACGCCGAGTTTCCGAGTTGACGGTCGAGCCAGACAATGACGGAACACAATGGCGGGACAAAGGCACACGAGAGTTTAACTCTTGCAACGCTGAGATCACTACATGAAGCGCCTGCTGAATGGCAGCTGTTTGGAAATCCGGTGTCTGGCCTCGAGAATCCTGTCCTCGCCTGTAAGGACACACATCATCCAGGGATATCCAGCAATTCAACCATTCATCCACTTCTCGAAGCAACAGCCCTGGGCGTTTAGCGATGCTGTAACCAAACGACTCCACCGAGGCCTTCCCGCAGTGCGCCCAGACATGGTTGTTCCCTTCTTGGCGGTTCGCCTCCCCATTCGTGCGTTGACGGGCCGCGGAGATATCAAATCGTCCCAAATATTCTGGAGCAGCCTTGGAGGGCGCCAGTCTGCGGCTTACTACTCACCTACTACTACCTAGTAGGTAACTTCTAAGCAGGACCGTACTGTACCTAGGTAGGTGGGTTGAGGGCTAAGTGGTGTAATGCACCCCAAGGTTTGTTTACTGATGGAGTCATAGCTGTTGCACTTTTGCACTTGCTAAACCACTCTGCACACTTCCGTCTCCTACCTGACGAATCGTCGGATTGTCTACCAGAGCCAGCTTTGACTCAACACTTACACGCCTCTAACCACGACCTATCGGCAGTCCACCTCTAAGCTGCCGCACTTCCTTCACCTGACGATCCGGGGCGCTCTGCCTGTTATTCTTAGCATCGTCCACCGCCTAGGCCCAAGCCACAGGCAAGCCGACGCTTCCACCCGTTGTCAAAAGAAAGCCTGGACCTGTCAAAGACGATTGATTTCTCATCCCGCTTTGTTGGTTCCCGTCTCTCCTTGCCCCCCTCACTCGACTTTACAACCTGAACCCGGCCCTTGATTTGTCGGTTGCCTTCCGTCCCTCCCTCCCCCATGGTCTATCCGTACCTTACTTACTGTCTTCCATGGACTAGCCACCAGCACGGCATCCCCTCCACACTTCTGTGGTACCATCCCACACCAGTTGACACTTCGGCTCAGTACCGCGACTCATTCGTAGTGTACAGCACCGGGGGCCGGCGCAAAACGTTTCGTTCCAGCGACATAGACTTCTTCCCAAGGCAAGCACCAAGGCCTGGTTTTAGGTACGTAATATCTCAATATCCAGTGTTGCTATGCAATTATCCCCCATCTCCTGAGCCCGAACAGCCCGCGAACCAGCCGGGCGGCGCACGAGACACCAAACCCCTCCAGCATCCCAAGGCCTGTCCTCACGCCCTTTTCCTGGTCAGCTTTTTCCCTCATAAGAACATGTTCTAATTCCGTCGTAGACAACTCGAAGAACTCCCTTGTTCTCGTACACTCCAAATCAAAAGTCACTCCTCGAGCAGCTATGATTGAAGAACTTTGAGACCCAGACATACCAACCACCAGCTGCTATTCGGCAACCGCTGGAGTCACCTTTCTTCAATACCTTCACTCTCTCCGGATATCAGCCGGCCAAGCCACCCCGGCTGCCCTGCCCATCTCTTCGCTTTGCGCATCAGACGCTGCGCTGCGCCAATCCCGCATACCCTGCACGCCCCAATTGCCAGCCAGATTCTTTATCTCGACGACAGGGCAAGGTGTCTATCCTTATCGATATCTTCCTACCTACCTACGTTAGACCACTGCGGCGCCCGCCCGCAGACTCCGCGACCCCTCAGATCCACGCCTGTCGCATTCAGATCCCTAGCCCAGGTCTCGCCCAGTGCATCTTTATCTCTGCGGCACTGCGATTAAGGTACAGCAGCGTCATCTCGCCGCCCTCCCAGATCTGGTGGGGTAATCTGCCCATCATCAGCTCCTCCTGCTGCACCGTCCCCATTCCCCGGGATACCGCCCCCATCAATTCCCACATCTCCGTGCTCCGCGTCTGCACCAGACCCAGCACACTGGGCCATGACCTTGACGTCCTCTGTGCCAGTCGACTAAAGAGGCGAGATGGACAACCAACATCTGTTTCCTCAGGCGTCATCCGCCAACCCTAGCACGAGCTCTCCGGATTCCTCCTCAGCGCCACAGCCCAAGAAGAAGTCCCGCAGGGGCGGCGACGGTCCCCAGAAGCGACGATGTGTGAGCACAGCTTGCGTAGCCTGTCGCAGGAGGAAATCGAAATGTGATGGCGCAATCCCAAGCTGCGCGGCATGCGCCAGCGTCTATGGCACTGAGTGTGTTTATGATCCCAACTCAGATCATCGTCGGAAAGGCGTCTACAGGGAGAAAGCCGACAGTATGAAGGCACAGAACTCCACCCTGCAGATTCTCATCGAAGCTATCCTGAACGCCTCCGAAGACGAGGTGCCAGAAATTGTCCGGAGAATCAGGACTTGTGACAGCCTCGATACTGTTGCCCAGCAGATTTTGCGGCGAGAAGTAATGTCCCAGGAGACTGCGGAAAACGACGAAGGGGAAGACGAGTATCCCGCTGACCAACCCATGGAGGGTGAAAGAGAATTGGCCCGCAAAATGGGCGAGCTACGCCTAGAAAACGGCTCAGTGCGCTTCATCGGAGGCACCTCCAACCTCATCTACGTTGACTTGGGTGAAGCTAGCTCCAACGAGCCCGAGTCGGACACAAATTCGGCTAACGAAGATCCCGTCACCAGTTGGACTAGGGTGACGAAGGATAAGGAACTCATCGCCCATTTGCTGAACATGTACTTCAACTATCACTACACTTACTTTACGACAATGTCCAAAACGTTATTTTACCAGGACCTCTTCAAGGGCAAGCACGGGGTAAATCACTCCAACACTGTTTATTGCTCGCCATTACTTGTCAACGCTATCTTGGCTCTCGGAAGTCACTTCACCAGCGTGCCTGGCGCCTGCGGAACACCAGGCGACAGCCGCACAAAAGGAGACCATTTCTTCGCCGAGGCAAAACGACTTATCGTCGAGAATGACGAGTATGAACGTCCGAAGCTCACCACTGTTCAGGCATTGGCCCTCATGTCCGTTCGGGAAGCCGGGTGCGGGCGAGAGGCCAAGGGATGGGTGTACTCCGGCATGGCCTTCCGAATGGCCCAGGATCTCGGCTTGAACTATGATGATGGCGGCACATCAACGGACAAGAAGAATCTCGGCGAACAAGGGGTGGACGCCAGGAGGGTGACCTTCTGGGGCTGTTTCTTGTTTGACAAGGCATGGTCCAACTATCTTGGGCGGCTGCCACAGATACCCAAAAACTCATACAACGTACCCAAGTACGATGTCTTCCCCAACGAGGACGCTGAACTTTGGTCCCCCTATACGGACGCAGGATCCGACCATACCAACAGGCAGCCATCGAGGACGCGCGCGGTAGGGTTGCAGTTCTCAACACTTTGTGAGATCAGCAGCGACTTGCTACTGTTCTTTTACCACCCTAACCATATTGGCCGGTCAAGCGGCAAGGCTGTGGAGCTGAAGAAGTTGAGCGAGCTGCATCGGAGGCTCGAGGATTGGCGCAAGGAACTGCCTCAAGAGCTGGAGCCAAGGGAAGGGCAAATGCCACACGTGATCCTTCTCCAGTAAGTCTTGCGATGTTATTATCGAGCCGCCGTTCCCTTTTCTAACTGTCAACAGCATGTTCTTCCATCTCCAATATATCCACCTCTTCAGGCCCTTCTTGAAGTATACGCCAGCAGCGTCCCCGCTTCCGTCGCACGTCTCGCCCAGGAGGATATGCACCGCCAACGCTGGCGCCATGTCAAAGCTGATGAGGCTGTACAAGAAGTCATGGAACCTACGCCAGATCTGTAACATTGCCGTTTACATGATCCACAGCGCCTGTACAATCCACCTGCTCAACCTGCCCGAGAAGACCGCCAAAAGAGACATCATCCACGGCGTAAAACACCTCGAGGAGATTGCCGAGGACTGGCCATGCGCCCGGCGGACTTTGAGCATCATCAGTGTTCTAGCGCGCAAGTGGAATGTTGAGCTGCCTGAGGAAGCTTCCGTTGTTCTGCAACGGACTGATGAGAAGTACGGCCACTTCAACACCTCCGATGTGCCAACACCACGATCCAATACCACCGCTTCACCGTCACAGCAACCAGCATCACACGTCCCGACGACCACGGAACCAGAGTCATTCAGCCCAATCACTCAGTATAACCTACCCGCAGTGAGCCAAGCAGATCTTTCTCCCAGCGATATCATTATGGGAAGCGCGTCCTTGGCACAGATTAGCGGCGCGGGGCCTCCAGCAAGGTCACGGCCTGCCGACAACGGGCCCAGCATGAGTATGACTTCAGAGTCTCTCGGTGGTAGTAGGCTTCCGACCGGCCTTGCCCAGTCTATGTACCAGCAGCAACAACCACAACGCTTCCCACCAATGACTAGCGCACAAGGAGGCAGCATGAGTACCTCACAAGCAGGCGGTTCGGCACCAGGAGTCTCGACGGGCCAGGTATTCCAGGGGCTCGACCAAGATTGGTTTCTCAACGACGGCGCCAAGTGGCATCAGAACTTTGAGGCGTGGAATATGCCAGGGTCCATGCCGACAAACGACCAGATGTTCATGTTCACGGACAGCAACAGCGGGATTCCGCCGCGGCAGTCACCAGAGGACACGACCAATGCTACGAACTTTGATAACCTGAGCTCCTTGACTAGTAACGGTTGGCTTCCTGGCCTGGACTAAATGGGGGTCTTAGGCCGGGACGGAAGGACCGTAAGAGACGAACATGTACGAAACTTTAGCTACGATTTCTGAACATATTTTTCTGGATTAACCTGGCCTCAATGATCTATCAAAACGGCCAGATTGAAGCAGCACAAGGACACGTTAGGAATGTTTGCCAGCTCGCCACTCCAAACTAAAGCGACTTTGAGAGATGTCCATACCTCAGACACATGATGGCTGAAGATACCAAACTCTAACATAGCCAAGACCAAGTGAATCATTTGCTGAGATTGAGGTAACACACGAGAATCGCATGGCGTGACATGGTGGCACTAGGCACGCACCGCCACACCGAAGCCGGTGGAAGGGGAGAGAGCTGGTCCAAAGTGGGGGCCAACATTCAATGCGTCTGGTCCGCGGCGGGATTAGTAACCGACCGTGGTAGGTGCGGATGTAGCTACCTGGGCATGCTGGCAAGCACCTCTACCCTGACCGCTGCCCGATGAATGATGCATCCCCCACCATAAACGTCACGTCAGAGGCACCTCGACCCTACCTTACTTACACTTACCGACCGCCCGTGCCTTCCATTTCCTCTTTGCTCCCAAGAGTAAAGACCAACGGAAGACCAACGCATCAAACGTGAAAGCGACCCTGGTTTTTTTCTCCCTCTTTTTTTTTTCTTGCTCGTTTGCTTTTCGTTTGGAACAAACTTCCTACGACTCACCCTGGCCTCCCGAAGCAAAATACGCGTCTACCACTTCGTCTCGCTCTCGCTCTCTAAATAACCTACAGCTACTCCGCGCTGCGATCATCGCCCTTTGCTGTTGCTTTCTGTTGGAGAAATGCTCCTCTCCAAGCTCCGCTCACTGTACATGGCTTAGCTTAGGTACGTCCCGCCCACCACCCCTACGCTGTACCACCACATCCCAACACACCTCCATTGCGCAAGCCCGTCTTGGAGAAGGGAAGAGGAGCTGGATGCCGAAGACGAGCTTCTGGGGCGAATCTTGGTTTCTACCTCATTGGCTGCGCCTCCCGTTTTGAAGCATAAGGCCGACTCTGACATTGCTGCACTCAGGCTCGACATATCCACATTTCTACCTCCACCGATCCGACCTACAGTTCCGTGCCACCATACTGCCGTCGTGCTCTCCCGCTCTCCGCCGATAACGACCTGAACCTCGATTCGGCTGACGTCGCGAGCCTGTTTCCTACATCACCAGCACAGCGACCTCCTCTCGAAGGCCGTACTTGCTTCGAAATTTGCCTCCCGACCTTCATTCACTGGGCTCTCATTTTATCTGATACCACGAGAGCATTCGGCAGTCCTCGCCAATAGCTTACGCGCCCGCCGAAGGAAATACTGCCCCTCCCAAACTGCCTTACCCAAACCTCGCCCTTCCACATCATCCAGCCTGGCGTTCAGAGCACTCCGAGCCGCCGGCCTCGCTGTGGGCCTTGGACTTACCGCCCTAGCAGCCTACCAGCGCAACCAGGCTGAAATGGATTCGCACGCCACGAGAGGCGGTCACCTGGATGCCACGGCCGGTCGGGAAGTTGTATATTGTCATGCCTGCTCCAACGAGTGGTGGCAAGACGAGCATGGTTTGCAGTGTCCTCGCTGCGACAGCGAGATAACGGAAATCGTACGTCAAATAAAACTACGTACGGTCCCGAGGAGGCAAGATCTAACGAATGCACAGGTTTCGCCGGACAACGACCCCAGACTTATTGAGGATGGCCCTCCGCTGCATGATTCACCCTCTAATCGCCACAGACATCCGTTGGACGACGATTCTGACCCAGAAGAGGCCGACATAGAGGAGCATTTGCACCGAGGACCCAGTGGCTTTGTTCTCCATCGCACGATATGGGACAACCAGAGACCTGGACAGGGTGCTTCCCCCAACGCTCGCCAACCGACGGACCCGGCCGACGGCGACCAGATTATCAGGCGCTTCATTGATATGGTCAATGAGTTTGGTATGGGCATGCCTCCTCGCCCGCCGCCAGACGAGACCCGGCCGCCCCCTGGATTTGGCGGTGGTCTATTTGGAGGCCCAGGCAATGTGCGCACCTACTACAGAGAAGGCCGTGGAGGAACTACAAGCTTCACAATCGCTACTGGACCGATCCATATCCATCAAGGCGGCAACCGATCCCCCGTCGGGCCTGGAGCCGACCCCTTCCAATCGTATGTTCGCCAAAGTCCCCGTGGCCACCCCACCAATGGACCTCGAGTCACCATGATATCCATCAGATCCAATGCTAATCAGCTTCCCAGTATCTTCAGCAGTGTTCTGGCAGGAGCAGGACCCCCGACCCCGGGCGGACCTCCCAGTCCTGGTCAAGGACAGCGTGCGGCCGGTGGAGCGCCCACACTTCTCCATGAGATTCTCAACATGCTCAACCCGGCGAACGCTAGCCATGGAGATGCTGTGTACACTCAGGAAGCCTTGGATCGGATAATATCCACCTTGATGGAGCAAAACCCTCAGTCGAACGCGGCACCTCCAGCTACCGAGGACGCTCTCAGCAAGCTGGAGCGCAAGAAGGTCGACGAGAAGATGCTGGGACCAGAGGGCAAGGCTGAGTGCACAATTTGCATCGACGACTTCAGTCTCGGTGATGATGCTACAGTTCTACCCTGCAAGCACTGGTTTCATGATCAGTGTGTTGTGATGTGGTTGAAGGAGCACAATACCTGCCCGATCTGCCGCACGCCCATTGAGGAGTCGAGCAACAACAATGCCAACAGCAGTGCGAGCAACGCTAACAACAGCGGCAACAACGCTTCCCAGCGTTCTCCTGATGCTGCCCCAGGTTCATCTGGCAGCAACCAGAACCCCGCATACTGGGACGATGCGCCTCCTGGGATCCCCGGTCATTGGGGAGCGCAGACGTTTGGTAGCCGCCCAGTCTTCTTCGGTGGACTCGGTCCACCTCCAGTACCGGCGGACTCGACGCGTCCGGAGCGATCCGCGGCTACCGATTGGGATGTTCCTTCCCCTCTCTATGGCTTCAGCACAGGCCGAGACATCAATCCTCAGCGCCCTCAGGAGACAAGCCGAATGTCTAGCTTCCGGTCCCGCCGGGATTCTCATTCGCCTCCTAGCCTACGTCGGCATCAGTCCGATTCATTCAGAGCTCGACACAGAAGCCCGTCTTCAGGAAACTGGGAGAGAAATCAAGACAATAACAATCAAGATGGCGGATCCAGTCACGGACCCTTCAACTGGTTGAGAAACACTTTTTCTCGGGGAGGCGGCTCGAGTGGCTCAGGAGACAACTCGAGAGACAGGCGCAGGGCCCAGTGAAGGGAGGCATGGTTGCCACAAGGGTTGGATGAGTGAAAAGTGATAATGGGCATGGACAAAACCATGCCAGGGTGGACTGGCCGGCGGCAGATTATGAATGACGAAATGGATTGCCGGCGTTTAGCATGGGTCGTTTTCCCCATTTTCTCCTTACGAGGGTCATATTCCGGGGCGACGCTTGATTGTCGCCCTGGACGTGTATTGGTAGATCATAGCCCACCACAAAGCAAGGGCGTTTGGAATGATCACGGGCTGTCTCTTTTCGCATGTGATGTTCATGGTGTTCCGTCATAACACTCATCGGTGGGAGAGCATGTGGAAGACATGCACAGCGTCCCAGCTTCAAGATGCAACTCACTCATCAAAAGCGTCATGGTAGCAAGCCCGTAGATCTGCTTTACACGTTCCATCAGCATCACGAAACCAGGTCAGGCCACATGTAACCCACACGAGCGCGTCGCAACACCACCAGCCAGCTCCTCAACACACATGAGGAACATCCATCCCACTACCCCATGACCGCCTTCTGGATTCGCGTCCCTCTGGTTCGTTGCTCACCTACAGAGGCCCTCTGCAGAAGGGGAATCGAGGCATTGGTTCGTATAAAATGTGTGGCCAGCCGGCGGCCTTTTTCTGTTCCACGCCAATTGTCCGTCGGGGTTGAACCTTTGACAAATCAGCTGACTGCCACGAAGGCCTTATGTGATTGTATCGGGCATACCTACAACCCCATGGTGACAGTGAGCGAGTACATAGAGGCAAGTCGACGAGGAGTGGTATGGATGGGGTTCTCTTCAGCATTTTTGTCGCGGTTGTATTCTGGTTTGGGTATACTGTGGACGGAGGAGGGCGGCTGACATGGCGGCAAAGGAGGTACTTTTTGGTGGTGATGTCTGCAAGGTAGATTTGGGCGGGTAATCTAAGCTCACAATGAGACTTAGGAACTCCGCGAGGCTATTTAGAGAGACACATGTGGCATATCATTTGGTTGGTTCAGATCTAGTGTGAGGCGATGGTGATTGTTTTATACACGGCAGCGCGCGAACAAGATGCAGGATGGCGGCGTCGGCTCGTCAACGTGGCTTCCCTCTTGAGTCGTAGCTCACATCTCTTGATGCTCTCCTTTTGAGAGGAGGCCAGAGGGAATAAGTGCGTGATCGTTGTTCGGCAGAGACGTACGGCACAAGGCGTCATCTCATAGAACAATGGTGTCGAGGGATAGGCCTTACCCTAAGCCCAGAAGGCTTGCTCCCGTAGTATAAAATACACAGGTTTCAGTGACTTTGAAATCGACGGAGACAAAAATTGTAATACTCCATCGCAGGGAGAAAATTGGCGACGTTAAGCAAGCTCATTCGCGAGCTTACGCTCTTCCATCGCGTGTTGTCTGTGGTATGATACGAGGTTTTCTCAGAACACGTCACGGTCTGCTTCCTTGGTGTATTATCTGATGATACCCCAACGACGAGAATAACTGAAAATGGCGTTGGTATTATGGAGTCGTTATCCACGCTCCAGCGCCATCTTGTCGTTCGTTCACAAGGTGATGAGATGTTCTGACGTTCCATGTGGCATCTCTCAACTGGTCATGATGGCCTTTGATCGAACATCAACGTCAAAGGGCTCCATTGCCAACTCCCGAAGATTTTGCGTTTGGCCGTCTTATTTATACTCATTCCCTGGGTAGTTTCTTCCGCATGTTCCGGATCTCCTGCCATAGTATACATGTATGGCTTGGAGCAGGGAATAGAGATACCCAGGCCTGCTGCGGTCTTGTTTGATCTGGAATTAGCAGAAAGGGGAGCCATTATACCAATATGCGAGATTAAAAAGGGTTGAACTCTTCTCTTACGAATCAGGAACCAATGCGTGAGCTTCCGGGAATATTCTTATTGGAAGCAGTCTACTTCAGTCATGGTATTGCTACTCACAGCCTCCACTCCTGCGGAGACAGCGTACTATGATCGGAGCAAGATGCTGGGAACTACATCCGGTGTTGTGTATTCTTGTACCAATACGAAGCCGGCGATTCTGAACGATAGATAATGTATATTTGGGTTGATCGTGATGCCCGGCGAGTGTTTTTTTTTGATTGAGGACACTAGGGAACGCATGTCAAGACAGATTTCTATGATCCAATACGAAATGCGGTCGAAAACTTGATTTTCTTGGCCTTCAAGGCCTCCATGCTCACTCTATGAAGACGATGTCGGCATTTATACCTGCTTCAACGAGCGAGGTCGGCCAGTCCTCATTCAGACACCGAATAGGGGGCGATCATGCTTGAACACCGTGAGCGGAACTTTGCCAATCTCATATTGTGTCTTGTTGCATATATAAATGGGTTCTTGGTATTTCTGGATATGTAGAAGAGCCAACAGAGTGTGGGTATGACTGTGCGGCGATTCATTGCCCCTGTGCCCGCTACCTTTTGATGTTGTGTGGTCTTGACTGGTGGTAGGGGTGATCAGATGACCGCGAATCAAGCTAGCCCTCAACATTTCGTTCTAACCCTTCACTTCTGGCATGTTATTCTTATGAATAAAGTCGAGAAAGAAGTGTTGCCCCGCAGATATTAGTCAAACGAAGATCATCGGCAGAGCTGAAGAGGTAAATGCGTCGTTCGAGCATGGCGTTCTTGACATCACTCTGATCCCTCTCAATGATCTGGAGTCCCAGCTCGAATTTGGTGCGGCCTTTCTACGAATCCCAGGATTCAAGGTTTTATATGAGTGGGCTGAAGACTTCTCAGGGATACGGCACAACCTATTCTCCATCTTTTGGTACCTATATATGAATGAAAATGAAATAGAAAGAAGCAAACCAGACAATTGCGAATGCCTTTGGTCGGATCTGAAATCCACAGCTCCTCGAGCTCGACAGTTTCTGAGGTTATACCAGCTACCCTTAGGGGACTATTACGAGCAGCTTGATCCCCCTGAGAATTTTCCATCTTGGTTATTGATTGCGTGTCCCATTCACAGCCATGGCGGACGAAGACGACCATGTGAGATGAACTTTACGGAACATTGGGATAGACACATTTGAGTCCCTGTTGTCTGTCGCTCGAAACATCGGTCAAATGCCTGTTCTGTCGCGTGGATTTGGGCTGACTGGTCATATATGAGGCAAATGTTAACTCTTTAAATCATTCGAACTTCCATGCAGTTACAATGAAAACTTCGCAAGGGAGTCTGAGAGAGATATAAAAAGCAAAATCTAAAACAAGTTCTCATGATTGTCATAATTGTAGCCCTGGGTTTTACCCCTAGTTATAGCGGTCTCTTTGATGCTGACCTATTTGTGGTAGCATGACACCGTGTTCTGACCCTGGGTTCGGCCACATCATTAGTAGCCCAGGAGTTGTTGCTTCATAATACACCGGCGATAGACCAGGGAAAACACGACAACATTCCAGTCAGCTGATCCGTTGATTGAATTTCAACTGAGGTTAAGCGGTACACTAACGGGCAGAAAACATTTTTGTTTCTTTCTTAAAAACTGCTTGAGGGCCGAGAAAAGATCAAATTGGTTTTGCGCTTTGGTGGGTAGAATCTCGATGCTCGTCCTCTTATGTTGTTTTGAGGACTGAAGTTGATGGTCATGGAACATTTAAGATTGGATGTCTGTAGACGAGAAGCACGCTGCTACATATCAGGCAGCGTCATGTTCCGTTGAAGGCGTTGAATGTGCTCGCAGATTAGAGTGACGCCGATCAAATGTGTAGTGTCGGAATGAATAAACAGAGAACAGATGTGACGAACCATGCAGACTAGCGAAAAGCTCTTGATTTCTTGCGTCATCTCTGATCCACCCAATCGCGAGGTGTATAGCAGGCATAAGTCAAACCATCACACAACTTTAGAAAGAATAGTTGTTCCTCCCGGGTCCCCAGCTATTTGGCGGTTTTGATTCTTGAATCCTAACTGAAGTCCACTTTTTATACGTCTGGGTTAGAGACGTAAAAAACTGTCTTTAGCGATAATTCAGAATACAGCAAAGATGGAATATTGGATGACCAAAAGAAATGAAAGGATTTTGGTATTTCTAATGCAATACCAGATGATTGCAGATTGCGGGTCTATTTCTCACTTGCAGTTGAAATTTATTAGCCTTTTGAGGAAGAGTGTTGTTATCTTTATAGCGATTAGCGAATACTGCTGCGATAAATTGCGACAACAAACGACGACAGAAGCCGCACGACGCTGGTATAGAGTCCTGTTAGGTTCCTTCTTCTATTAATGCATAACAATACTCACGCTGAGCCTTTTTCACCTGGCTGCCTTTTCAACGAATACCGCGAGCACCCCATCGATTGGGCTTGCCCCAAAGTTTCTGTCTCATGTGTTGATCCTCAGCTTTTATTTATCCATGTCTTACAAGAGCTAAGAATCACCGCACGTCCACTTCCCAGCGCAACAATCTCAGCCTGTGACAGATTCCATGCATGAATCTTGAAACCGTCTGTTGTTGACTACGTTTAAGCTGTCCCGCTCTAAGAATAAGAAATGCATCACCTAGAACAATACTACTTCAGTTGAACAAGAGAGCGTTTTTTATGAGTGAGTTAATGGTAACTTTTAGATATCATGTGCAAAACCTCCGTAAAACCTCACCATTGTGATGAGGATTACTTGAGTTGATTCTAACCTCACAGGTCCACAATCCATCAAACAACCTTTTCACCCTCACAACCTTTACGAGCACCTTGCTATTCCCATCTTAAGATTTGTTCCATCCGCAAGATTCATTTCCCCTAAGCACCTACTTAACTTCTTAGGCTTTTCAAGTCCAATACACCTACCTCCGCAAAGGCTTGACCGTCATCTAACCACAACATCAAAAAGCTGCAAATTTCTACCCCTCGCTCTCGTCTGCGTTCTCTCCATTCATATCTCTGATTCTCGACACGACCGCATTATTTCGGAAGACACCACTATTTATGAACAACCATGGCTACACAGAAACTTTCTTCGTTTGGTGATCTCTGTCCAGAGATCCGAACAATGATATGGGACTTTGCAACCCGTCCTCACGGCATCCGCGGAGTGCAACACTTTTCAATCTTCCCTTGCTACGATGTTCCTGCAGACTTCGACGGACACATCGCACCGATAATAGAGACGAGCCAAATGGAGGTCGTGGGGGCTCCATCGACGATAGACAGCACGACAGGAAGCCCCTACAGCAACAACTCAACATACACCATCGACAGCGGGCTTTGGACCGCTTGCAGGGAGTCAAGAGCGGCCATGTTTCGTCGCTACAGGCCTGGTGAGTGGACCGATTTTTATGAGGTTCAAAAGAAAAAGTACAGCTCAAATCGCGAACCCGATCGAAGCGTCGTTCACCTCAGTAGCACATATCACGACATGCCCGCTACCTTCGAAATGAACCACGGCGAGAAGAGCCAATTCTTCACCGTTCTCCCCGCTACGGATCTTATCTTTATACACCTGACGTCGTTTCGGCAGAGAATCTGGGATCTGAGCAAACAACTTCCCTTCGCCTCCTGGAGACTTGGTTTCGGGGGCATGTGCCACGTCGCCCTGGAATTCGATCCGTCGTGGAGCATCGCTGAACTTAAGCAGTATCAACAGGAGTGGGAAGGAGGCCAGCCTGAACTGAGCGTCGAGCGCTGGAAGGAGTACGACATGCTGGTACAAACCAGTAGAAACGTTCACGCCCGTGGCAACCTCAAGACGTTGTGGCTCGTGGATCGTCGTCTGCGAAGAGAACATCTAGCGCCCACCACTGATCAACTAGAAGCCATGTTGGAGGTCGAAGTCATGTCAGACGAAGAGCGAATGGTTTTCCATGAAGGCGGCTGCAGGTACTTTGGTGCGACGGCGTTCTATGAAAGATGGCCCTGGGCATACGAGGACGATGACCCGGGATCGGCAGACAGTAGCCGTGAAACAGTATGGCAGTTTGCATACAGTCTGCAATGGGTCGCCACTGTTCAAGCAATAGACCGCGCCGGTGATCCTTGGAATCTACCCCTTGGCGCCGTTCAACGATGGGGGGTCTTATTACAATCGAGCTAATAGTTGGGTACGAACAACATCCAATCGTCAGATCAGCATGTACGGACCGGTGGACTCATTGAAATCTCACAACTACGATTCGGTAACTATTCAAGGTGTTTGCTATCTTTAACTAACCCTCAAGCAAAGATTTACAGCATCGGCACACGCAGTTTTAGTTTCAACTGATCGGGCAGAGGCGGTGGAGCCTGCTCTCGACTTCAATACTATTCTCCTGTATCCTCAACAGACATGCGTATTCACCCGTACCAGACCTGATGAATGACAAAGCAGCCCGGTGGTAAGAGGGATAAGGGTCTGGAACGGGGCATCGTATGGTCCGACTGACAGGTCTTCCAAGTCGAACGAACAAATTGTGGGCGGTTACTCATGAACGAGGCATCGCCGCGTCGCCACATGTGTAAGCAGCTTGCACGTTGATCCGGATAAATAATTAGATGGAACGCAGACGCTGAAAGCTCAATGTCATGTCATCTCCCTAAATCTGAGCCTTAGTCTAGCAACTCACCAAGCTTGGGAAGCCACAGTGTCAACGTCAGTATCTCAAAACATTCAAAAATGATGCGTGTCCCGGGAAGAAAAGCCAAAGATTGAAACAATAGATATCGTCAAAGGCAAAAGATTGCGCCGAGGGGGAATCGAACCCCCGGCTCCCCGACGCTGCTGGATGGCAACGGAGAATTTTACCACTAAACCATCGGCGCTGATGGATTGCTTCATGCATGGGAGTTTCGTGAGACTGACTATGGAGTGCCTGCCTGCAGGTGTGGGCGGTGGGCTGCAGAGTGCAGGCCCCGTAGCGCTGACTTGTGGGCCAGCAAGAGGGTGGCCCATGGCGATATCGGCCGGGGAAGCGTACCCGGCGGCCAAATGACCGAGAAGGGAGAGGACTCAACAAATATTTGGACGGGGCGTTAGGAAAAGATCCCGGAGCCTTGTGGGAGAGGAGCCAAGCTGGCCTGGAATATCATTTGATCAGGAGGCGATGAAGAAATTGTTACGATGCAAGATGCGAGTGCTCAGAGGGGCCCTTTGAACTGGAGTTCGGGGAACAGATTCCGTTGCATCAGTGACGTCGATGTGGGCGGGTAGAAGTGCGCGACCCCGGTGCGATGGAAGGCGAAGCTTTCCGGCAGGCAACCTACCAAGCTTACTGCTTGCTGACTGCTGTTCGAGGGGCAAGACCGAGAGCGAGAAGGGAGCTATGGTCTTCTTCTTGTTGTTGCTCCCACAAGCACACGCAACATGTAATATGCGTAGGGCTATGAGATTATCATAGATTATCGCCTGGTCAATAACGTTCAGGAATTGCAATTGAGCAGCTGAGGGGAACGTGTCTAGCATCATTCCGGCGCGCGTTGAGCTAAAAGAGGCCAGCGGAGCATGCCGCGGCGGACGGCGCGAACCAACATGACTTGTTCAGCGAACCAATTGTCCTGTGATGTGAAGGAACCATGTTCAAAGCTTGCCAAGTCATACCGCCCAAAAAGCCAAGCTCTGGGGTCGGCCAACGTCTGTCAAGGCCTGCTCACTAGCACCGAATACAAGCTTACACACCCGGTAGGGAAGACTAGGCAAAGCAGGACAAAATCAGGTCGTTGACGGCGATACCTGCCCGTGTCGAACGAGACGGGCGTTGGGCCCCCCAGGCGGCGAGTGCGATTAGCGGCTCCTGATCGCCTATGCAGAATGGGGGATGGACCAAGATTGGAACCCCAGCCATCCAGCCATGCCGTTGACCGGCCGGCAGTTGCCTTCGGCCATGGATGACTGGATGACTCGAGGGGGTTTTGTCTGCTCGTGGGTTGATGATTCAAGAGAGAGATGACACGGCTTTGACGAGAGTTGGGCTGGATGCTGAGTGGCTGCACCTTGTTGAAGAAGGGCTGATTTTGATCTCGTCTCGAGGGTCTTTTAGTCGAGGCTAGGCGGGGACGACATGTAGCTGGACTATCCGTACTACGTTAGCAGAGAGGAGCAGCAGCTGGGCCGTTGGCGTGATCTCTCTTTTTTTCCCTGGACCTTGTTCGTCTCATAGCCTGGTCCCATCCGTGGCTAGTTCAGTTCGCTGCGGCGTGGGTTGGATTGGTTATAGATTTTGGGACTTTGACTGAGTGGTCTCTGTCCAGTGACTTGTGGACTCCCATGTGAGGTGCCCGCGTTGCATAGGTTGCGTTGCGCTCCGTTCCGTCTGGGTACGGCCGCTATGTGGAATAGGTTGGAAGACTCCCGTCCTGTTCCTCCTCTTGTAGGTAGGGAGCAAAGAGGAGGAGGAGGAGAGGAGCAGGAGGCAAGGCAAGGCAAGGTACGGTACGGGTTGGTTGCCGCTGCCGCAGCAGCAGCAGCAAGTCGCAGTCCAGTGAGTGTGTGGTCTCTTCCAATTCTTTTCCCCTCTTTTTTTCTTTCATGTTTCCAATCCCCCTCCCGTCTGTCTCTCTTTTCCCTCCTTATTCCCATCGCTTTCTCCCACCCAAAAGATTCCCGCGCGGCGACCCCAAATTTATTGGCTTGGTGGTGTACGACAACCATTACATACTTACGCAGCGTGCTGTGTTCCCGTTCGCTGCGCAATCGCCTGTTTATTCCCAGCAGCAACCCCCAAAAAGACCAAGACCTCCGGACGGCGAACACTGCGCCGCGCCGCACCGCAATTTGCCCAGCTTTTGCGTTGCCGCAGCGCACCTCATCCTTATTCCCGGACGGCACACGGCGGACGGCCACAGCTTGTCGTTTGCCAATCCAATCCGCGTTCGCGCGCGCCGCCGGATTCGAGCGTCCAATTTCCTGAGCGTCCCATCAATCCTCGCTGCTGCTGCTGGCGCGCATCCCCCGATCCGGTGCTTCCCCGGAGATTGCAGACCTCCCGTCCGGAAGGGGACCAGCACCACAGACGCCGCGTGCCCAGACGGCGGAAACTGGAGCAGCGTCAATCGCGAAATTGGCACTTTACGACCGGCGCCGGAGGTGGGAAATTGAGAGCAGGCTCGGTGTCGCGGGAGGGTTCGGTGTCATCGGCGTCAATTGATTGACTGCCGCTCGGCGCCGCTGCCGCAATCACCAAAACACCATCACCACCATCGCCAGAGCTGTCGCGATGGCTCCCCAGGACCACCCGCCGCAGCATCAGCAGCAACCATACACGCCGAGTTCGGCCTCGACAATCTACGCATCGCCGGCTTCAGAACACGGACGCCTGCCGCCACCGCCGACAACGAGTGCGACGACACCGAATGGAGCTCTGCACCCAGGCGGAACGCCATTATCTTCGTCAACCGTCGCTGCACACCCATCCTCCCAGTCCTACCCCTACAACGGCATCGTCAAGACAGAAGACAGCGTCGACGGCAACTCGGCCAGCCCGGACGGACAACTGAACGCCTCCGACGAGCCGCCCAAGAAGAAGCAGAAACGCAACAAACCAACCCTGTCATGTCACGAGTGCGTCGAGCGCAAAACGAAGGTATGTACGCATTGGTTCTTTGCTTCACTGCTCATTCAACAAGTTCATGACTCTTCCCTTCCTCGTTGCTTAGCAAGCCGAGCTTCACTCCTTGCGCTTGCTCCCCCTACCCTCCCCCGCACTCGGAGCTTCATGGTCCACCGTGGCTCTCGCAGCCGCGCCGACGCTGGCCCGAAGTCTGGACCCGGCCGTCTGTCAACATGTCTGCTGCTATTTGCAGGAGGCGGGCGCCGAGAGAGTCATGAGCCTCGCACGTGGCATGCACGCTGCCCGAACCTTGTTGGCTCCTCAGATCCCGGAGACGAGCTTTTGACAGCTTCCAAATGGGGTTTACACACCGATCCCATGTGAATCAGAATGCAAGTCATGGCATGGAACGCTGACGCGCATGATAGTGCGATCGAGGGAGGCCGCATTGCTTAGCATGCATCAAGCGTCAGACAGAATGCAAGTATGCACATGTCGCGAACCTGCTCGAGTAAGTGCCCCCTTGCCTTTGTCGGGGCTTACCGTACTGACCATCTCAGGGAAACGACACGGTCAGCCACCAATGGCCGGCGAATGACTAAACCGCCAAAGAAGAAACCTTCAGACGTCAACACGATACCCAACATCGCCGACAGGGGTCTCTTTGAAGGCAGAGGTTTCACTTCCCGCGGTTCCGTTGGTTCCATCGCCTTCTCATCATCAACCGGGCTGCTCTCGAATGTGCCGTATTCTCTGCCGACGGCCAGCAACGTCTTTGGCATCGGTTCCGAGCACCCTTTTGCCAACTACTGGACATGTGAAGGGGGCTTGCCAGAGGTCATCTCTGTGCTGCCGGATAAGATCCAGGCAGACATTCTGCTGGCCCAGTATTTTGAGTGTGTCGACCCGGTGTACCCCATGATCCACCGGCAGACATTCTACGCGGACTACGAGCACTTTTGGAGTTTGGGCAATGACGAGAAGAACCGCGTGGACGCCGCCTTCATTGGGCTCATCTTTGTGATGCTGGCTCTGGGGACGCAGTTTGTGACGTCTACGTCGCCGAGAGATGGGAAGCAAACGGCCGAGTTTTATGCGTCGGCCAGCAACCAGGCGTTACGGATGTTTTCCTATCTGAGCGCTGCTTCATTACGGTCCATCCAGGCCATGGTCTTGTAAGTCTATTGCCAAGACCCCAGAGACATCTTGGGGGATGATGCTTATTTGGCCAGGTTGACCTACTTCTTAATCAACGACAACCATGCTTCTGACGGGTGGGCATTCGCAGGCATACTCATACGCCAGGCCTACGCAATGGGTCTGCATCGTGATCCTAACATTGGTAAGTTGTACCTGAAGTCACGCATCGAGCCCTGCTAAAAGCTACTAGTCACTCCCGAAGCTAGCATCTTTGAGAAGCAACAGCGCCGCAAGCTCTGGCAAGCCGTCCTTCTTCAGGACACCTTTCTAACCGTCCTCCTCTCCCTGCCCCCGTCAGCAACTCACACAGACGTCTCCGTCGAAGACCTTCTCGACGACGGTTCGGCCATTGCCTCCAGCGACCCGACAGACATCGCCTACATACGCGGATCATGGACGCTGGCCAACCTGGTCCAAGAAACAATCTGCTCACCGCGCTCTCTCGACATGCCCATCTGCACCACCGCCCGCCACAAGTCCAAACTCGTGGCCGATTTCCGTGCCGTGTACCGGTCGTTCCCCGACGTCTTCCGGTCCTGGGACTCGGACAGTCTCACATCGTTGGCAAGAACCAATAAGCGCGTCGTCCGCCAGACGTTGTTCCTCACGAGCAACTATCACCACAACATCATGCTCGTACACGCCTCCGAGTCCCCGGACGTTCCCGTAAACGTACGCGGCACGCTCGAAGCCGCGCACGAGGCGATCAACTCTTTCTTTCTGCTCTTCAACATTTTCGAACTGGAAGCCCGGGTGTGGTGGGTCTTCAACCACCGCGCCTTCCTCGAGGCGCTGTGCATCGGCAGCGTGCTCCGGGAGACGGCCAAGGACCCGGCGGCGGTGGAGGCGGCGGAACGGGACCCGCTGTTCGTAAGGGCCAGGGCCGATATATGTGAGTAAAAACCTACCTTACCTACCCACGCGTCTTCCGGTTTGCGTATATAATGTGGCGAAGAAGGCTGACGTGAAGATGGTCACAGCGCGCATGATTCAAATCATGGAGTTGATGGGCGAGGGGGATCAAGGGTCCGAAGTTGCTCGGGCGCGGGTCCAGGTGTTGAAGGACCTCCTGTGAAGCGGGCCGGGGGGCCCCTTTTGCGCCCAGTGCTCACACGTCGTCGTGGATGTTTTGCAGATCCCGTGGTTTTCTGTGGAGAAGGTGGGCGACGTACGGATATTGCGCAAGATGTTTGCTGATGAAGGCTGGCTGGCTGGGGGGATGGGAGGGTTTCTGGTTTTCATCTCTTGCTCTCTCACCTGTCACCGGCCGGGGACTGTCATTTTGCGAGATGTGTTTCTTTTTCTTGGCGGGACGGGAGTTGGTTTACATTGTGTGGGAGTCGGGTCGGTGCATCATCCACTTCATGTTCGATTCCCACATCCGGGACACGAATCTCTCGGGGTTTGTCGATTGTACACTTCTGCTGCAGTATCTACAACTTTTCAAGGGGGGCGGACTCCTCTTCACGGAGCTAGTGTATTGCTTAATGATAGGTTAATGAGCCTTTTCTCACAATCCGGGATCGCCACCCTTGCCTCTTCGCTCTCTCGCATCATCCATCACACCACGGTCTCCTGGGAGCGATTCGAGACAGCAAGTGAGTCGCTAGCCGCGGTGGGCGAACGAACGACGGGGGCAACGGGCGAGTGACAAACGGCAGGCGGGCATGATGGAGACTCCACCAACATTGAACATGGCCCTCCCGAGGATTGAGAGCCATTCATCTATGCAGAAGGTAGCCCGACCCGAAACGGCGTCGCCGTCCGTCAGGCGTGCATGCTTACCTGAGTTAGCATTGCAGCAGCAGCATGTCGATGGATGCAGTACAGGACCAAAGCCGCCCGAGCCTGCGGCAACAGTGCCGAACAAGCGGGATCATTCATCGGGCTGTCCCTTGCTTCCCTGCGGTGCCTCGCCTCTCGCACTCTATCAATCTCCCTTTTTTTGGACCATTTGGCGATGCCTCTTGGGGAAGAGCACTGAGTGAAGTGGGAAAGTGGACTCGACGGACCCGGAAGCGCTAGCGTAGCCACCCCACGTCCCGGGAATGGAACCCCACCGGTTGGCAGTGTTGTGGCCGAGAGTGTCATTTTGGTCCCGGCCGCTAAGCCTTCCCTTTCCCTCAGCACACGCGCAAGGGCAGGGAAACAGATTGAGATGCTGCGGAAAAAAAAGGAAACGAGACTACCAAAATCCAGTGCGTCGGCCGAGTCCAGTGGCTCCATCGCATCAACCCCACCAGCCCGGTGCAGCTCCACCCAGCTTCGGTGCTTAGCACCTCGTGCGGCCGTTTCCATTGGCCACAGAGGGCCTTGTTGGTCCAGTAGCGCGTGAGTGCCGTGGGTATTCAGCGTGTACGTACCGCGACGCACGGGCCAAGGGACGGAAGGGACTCGTCAGCTCGTCGGCGGTCATTGGCCGGCGGTGGTCCAGCTACGCCGCGAGGATTGCGCAGCCCCAATGTCCCTGACGGTCCTTGATGTGCCCACTTCTGCCACTCACTCACTCGCTTTGCTGTAAGGTACTATGGAACGAACTGCTGCTGCTGCGACTGACTGCGCGGCCCGGCGCTGCGCTGCCGGTGATGGGCAAGGAAGGCAAGGGCAGTGTAACTGTTTGGTGCCCCATGGACGCGTAGTCCCCTTCCCTTTCTCTGGCAAGCCTCTTTTGTCGAGTTCCATCCAAGTCGACCCCTTCTCTTCCCTTTCCTCCCCCCTCCTTCTTACTCTTTCCTCCTTCCGACAGTTAACCACTTCTCAAACCAACCACCAGGTTCGGAAAGTGTGAATACCCTCATTCGTTTATTTGTTTCGTTTCGGTTTCTTGGAGAGTTTGGGTTGATAGCTCTGAAGAGAGTGAAGGGTGGAGGATCTATCTTATCGAAAGCCGGTGTAAGACAAGCCCGGCTGACCTCGCCAACCCCGAAAAGGGCACCACCACACCACCACCAAGCCGACGACATACGTATACATACATACCGGAAGCCCAACAAAATCCCAGGCAGCCGTTTTACCCTCATCTGTCTGCCTTTTCTTGTTTTCTTCCTGGGGCCGACTTTTACCTTTCACCTCCCCTGAACCCCGACGACAACCACGAGCGACCCCGTTTCTCTAGGCAGAGAACTCCTCGACATACGAGGCCCCCCGATCCCCCGCGCCCCACGGGCAAACTAGAGGACTTCACGAGAAGAGGTTGCTTGTAATTCATCCACCGTTTCAAAGTCGCCCATCATGCGCGGCCTGGCGCAAGCTCTCCTGCTCGCGCCGGCCCTGGTCGGAGCCGCTCCTTCGCGGATCGACGAGAAGGTCAAGGGTGAGTTCTTCTCAGTCATTATGCTTGATGAGAGTGAATCCTAACAGTCATTAGATGCTTCGCCCTCGACCTTTGTCACCTTCGACATTCCCCCGGGCTTCAACGAGGACCATTCTACCCCTTACGTAAGTCTCACTTCTTCAACTCATCACAGAAGTCCTCACTAACACGCTTCAGACCCTTCATCTGGAGGTCCTCGAAGCCCCCTCCCCGTGCGCCTACCCCAACATCAAGGTAAACGACAACCCCCTTTCCCAGCGCGGCCACACCCTCGGCCGCGGCACCTTCACCGGCGATCACGACGGCTCCACCTTCATCGCCTCCTGGACCGCCACCTGCGCCGGCGACGAGCAGCTGCTCCGCTTCAACCTCGAGTCCCTCGCCGGCCGCTCCCTCGCCTCCGACGTCGCCTTCGTCGCCCGCTTCCGCCAGACCTCCCCGGCCTCCATCATCGAGGTCGCCGGCCCCGTCCGCGTCTCTACCGACCGCCCCCAGCCCCCGTCCCTCTCCCTCCCCGAGTGGGACGGCCACAGGCCCCGCCCCGGCGACGACGAGGACGGCCTCCTCGACGACCCCCCCTTCCCCCCGCCCCCTCACCACCACGTCGGCAACCACAACGAGGCCGACTTCCACCACCCGCCCAAGCACAACGGTGAGGACCGCCCTCACCCGCCGCACGGTCATGATGGCGAGAAGGAACACCACCCTCACCACTCACCCGAGGTCGAGGCCGAGATCCACGAGCTCGACTGCCTGCGCCACCAGCTCCACGCCCTGAAGCACCTCATCCACGAGAAGGAGGCCCGCCTCGCCCACGAGCACGGCGTCCGCCTCCACCGCCACGCCCTGCGCGAGTGCGACTCCCTCAAGTGCGTTCTCGACACCCTCATGCACCGCGTCGGCGGCGGTTTCCGCGGCGGCTTCCACGGCTTCGGCGGCGGTCGTCGTCACCGCGGCCCCGGCCACCACCACGGCGGCCCGCCCCCGATGTGCGGCGCCTTCCCCTCCCCCGGCGGCAACCACACCCACGGAAACCACACCGCCCCGCCGCCGCCGCCGCCGCCGCCGGGCTTCTGTCCCTGTGGCCCCCCGCCTCCTGAGGGCGAGTGGCCTCACCACGGTCCTCCCCCTCCCTTCGACGAGCCTCCCCACCACGGCCCTCCCCACGGCGACTTTGACGAGCCCCCTCGCGGTCCTCCTCA